GTTTAATGTAAAGGAAGAAACTTCCTAAGTTACTGCTGTGCAAGATAAGAGCAGGCTGCCTCAAAACATAAAGGCTTTCCTTTCAGGTATGGATAAGACTAGATGCTCCAGCTTTGATATTCTAGGATTCTGTGCCCAGGAAGTGTAGTCTTCTTTCTATTGCATTAAGCTTGGTGATGAACTTCAATTTCCTTTTCCTCTGTCTGATATTCATGCAGCACAGTAGGTTCTTTTTTTCTTTTTGGAAAAAAGAGTTATATGGACTACAGCCAAAGAAAACCTTTTTTTTCTTTCAATATTATAGATCATACAGGAATTACCATTGCCAGGACTGTGTTCCTTTTGGTCTTTTGCACTAAGACGTGGAAATAAGCTTGATCTCTAATGTTCCTTCTAGCATTTCTATTCTATGTTATAAATATTCTATTTCTATGATCCCTTTTCACTTCTATTATTCTATGTTCTAAGGGCCCTTCCTATTCTGACATTTGATGACTGATTCTAATGGTTTTTAACTTTTTATCTACTCTAATGGGATTTTATGTGTCTGTCAACTTTCAGGAATACTAGGGCAAGCAACAATTTTAGTAACAGATTCAAATGGAAACTTTTGCAACATAGGCAGATTTGGAAGCAGGTAGGAAATTCTAAACATCCTTCTTAAAGTCATCAGTTCCTTTGTAAAGGCCCAATGAAATCATATTCTTCTTTCATAATCTCAGAAATTGTGTTTTTTTAACTAGAGTTATCTGTTATGCTTGAAATGAGCAGGACTTTATTGTTTTTAATTTCTTCATCTATAAAATGGGAATAATTCTGCCATAGCTACCTGACTATCTTGTTTTAGCTAAACTCCTTGAAGTTCAAGGTACCAGGAAATGATTGCTTGGAAAAGTTTCGACAAAGCAAGGATAGTGATATTAATTATAATAACAGCTAACGTTTATTTATATAGGTCTCATAATGTGTCAGGCACTGTGCTAAGTGCTAGCAATTATTATCTCATTTGATACTCATAACAACCCTGGGAGGTAGGTGCTATTATTATCCCCATTTTACAGTTGAGGAAACTGAGGCCAGGAAAGGTCAAGTGACTTGCTCAGGGTCACACAGCTAGTAAGTGTCTGAGGCCTGATTTGAACTCAGGTCTTTCTGACTCCAGGCCTGGAGTTTATCCACTATGCTATTTTAACTACCATTTTTCTCTCTCTCTCCCCCCCCCCACTTTTTCCCTTTCTCTCCTTCTCTCCCTCCCTCCCTCTTTCTCTCTCTCTCTCTCCCTCTCCCTCTCCACTTTATACAGGGAAAAAGTTGAGCATCCAAGAGCCTTGGGAAGCTTCTAAACAGGATATTAAGACCTGTTTCCTAAGGTTTAGCCCAAACAAGCAAATGCACACAAATAGCCCAACAGACTGAAGTGATGCAAGAGCTGAAGCTCAAGTGTCTTCTGCTTTGGCTACAGATTTCTTCCTGGTGGTTACACAAGACTGACAAAAGTGTCAAACATGACCGCGAAGCTCCCCCAGGGTAGTAAAATTGTAGCTATGGGGTTTCTTCACCTGCATTTTTGGAAGAGAACAACAACAATAATGATAATAAGTCCCATTTCTTTAATGCCTTGGAATTTACAAAACACTTAACTCAAGCCTGTGAAGGAGGTAAGGCAAGTATTAGATAAAGGTTAAGGAAGTTGTGCCTTGCCTATGGTTACACAGCTGGTAAATGTCACAGGAAGAATTTGAACCTTGGTTTCCTGATTCCAAATCCACTAAACCAGGCTCACTGGAATGAGATAGGAGAGCTCCCTTTGCTAAATGGAAGATGGACCTGTGGAAATGGAAAGGACCTCCAGATAGCACTTACTGTATCTTCTCTGATGATAACTGTTAAGATTTGGAGGATGGAAAATTCATAGGATTATTGAATTTAGAACTAGAAGGTACCTAACAGCTCTATCTGGTCCTATCATCTCTTTTATAGAAGAGAAAACTAAGGCCCAGAAAGGAGAAGAGACTTGCTTAGTGTCACATAGGTATTAAGCAGGAGAGCCAGAATTCAAACCCTGTCCTCTTGACTCCAAATCCAGTTTTTCAGTGTCATAGAGTTCTATCTACCAAGATACCTCATCTTACTCAATACTAGTGCTTCATATGCCCCCAATAAATAAATGAAAGAGGGAAACAACTGTGTAAAACTTTATTTTTTGCAGACAAAGGGGATGCCCATCAGTTGGGAAATGGATGAACAAATTATGGCATGAGAATGCAATAGAATATTATTGTGCTATAAGAAACAATGAAAGGGATGGATTTAGAGAAACTTGGGAAGACTTCATGAATAGATGCAGAGTGAAGTGATCAGAACCAAGAGCACAATTTGTACAAGGACTATAATGTTATAAAGTACAACAATTTTGAAAACTTTAAGAACTCTGATCAATACAACTCTAGCATGCTTCCCACCTCTTGACAGCGATGTGATGGACAGTCTGAGACACACATTTTCAGAAACATCCAATATATGGGTTTGCTTTATGTCAGTGTTGGCACTGCTGCCACTGGCTCTGGAAGGACTTGGGGGCTGCAGTACAATTGTTGAATTCTACAAAATTAGATGGTTTTACTTATTACTCAGCTGTTATTGCTCCCATTAACATACTAGCTCTCCCTACCCTATAGATGCCTGTCATTTCTGTACTGGTAAAGAAAGCTGAGAGGAGACTTACACATGGTGACCTCAAGTTAGGGGATGTGAGACTATTTATCGATGTGAGAAGTTTTGCTGGCCAAGGAACTTGTCATTTAATTCAAGTCAGATGTATTGAGCATGAGCTCTGTACAGAGCTCAGTGCTATTGCAAAATTTAGATAAGGCATAGGCCCAGTCTTTATGGAATTTATAGTCTAGAAAGGAAGAGACAAATAAAGATAACCAGTACACAATAATATTTGTATATTAGAAATGCAGAGTGCTTTGTGAAATTAGAGGAGGAGAAAGGTTTATCAACTGAGGAGATCAGGAGGCTTTCTGGAGGAAGGGCCATATGTATTAGGCTTTAAATGATGTGTAAGGATTCATATGGTAGGATCTGAGAGGGAACAGGTCATATCATGTACAGAGAACAGCATGTGTGTGTAACAGGAATGGCAGATACCCCAGTTTGACAGGAGGCAGAAGTAGTATGGCACAAAGCTGGAAAGGTAAGAAAGTGGCAGCCACGTTGTGGAAAGATTTGGATAAAGAATTTGAACTTAATAAGAATTTCTGCCTGTTGGATTTTCTCTCTTCAGGGTTCAGCTCAGGGTTCCTCCTATTCCATGGAGCCTTCCCTTACACTTTCTGTCTTTACCACCATCCTGCTTCCCTTCCCCTCAAGTCTTCTTTTCTTTTTTTCTTTTTCTTTTTTTTTGCAAGGCAATCGGGGTTAAGTAACTTGCCCAGGGTCACACAGCTAATAAGTGTCAAGTGTCTGAGGCTGGATTTGAACTCAGGTCCTCCTGACTCCAAGGCTGGAACTCTATCCACTGCACCACCTAGCTGCCCTTCTTCTTTTCAATAATAATAATAATAGCTAACATTTATGTAGCATGCACCATGTGCAGGCATTATACTAAGCACTTTACAATTTTTATCTCATTTGATCCTCACAACAACTTTGGGAGGTAGGTGCTATTATCTCCATTTTATAGATGAGGAAACTGAGGTAAACAGCAGTTAAGTGACATGTTTGAGATCTGAATTTGACTTCCTGACTCTAGGCCCAGTTCTTTATCCCCTGAGCCACATAGCTGTCCCTAATTCCTTAAAATTCTTCTAGCACTTTCCTTGCATCTCTCCTTCAGACTTATCTCACCTACCCGATATTATATTTATCTGTGTCCCCTTGCCCCCTCTGGCCCCCCCCCCCAGCACATTGTCAGCTACTTGATAACTTGCTGCAGTCATGAGCTTGGTGATAACAGTATTTTCTGTTGTCCTGGGATCAGTCAAGTTCGGAAGACTATTGTCATTAGTTTGGACACAGTGTGATACATTTTTTCTCCCACAACAACTTTAGGAGGCCCATCATTTAAGTCAGAGAAGGGGTGATTTGGAAGAAGTATCCACCCTAAAGAAAATCGCAGATCCTTGACACAAGTAAAAGGTCTCCCTAGTGCTTAGCACGCGCTTTGCATGCATTCATGTTGAATTTGGCAAAATATAAACACAGGATCTTAAGATTATGAGAAGTCCCCCTGAAATGTGGGGCCAGGAGGCTCCTTTGCCCTGTAGTGTCCCCGGGAGCTGTGACTGGGGCAGGGAAGGATCTGCCCTGGGGCCACATGGAGAGCGCCCAAGAAAGCCGGGCACTTTCCTACTGCAGCTGCCCGGGGCGCGGCAGGGGAGCTGGGGGGACTTCTTCCTACTGTTTCTAAGATTGGCAAAGGCCGGGCCCCTTCACAGGAGGAAAGGGAGGCCCAAAGAGAGGCCAGGGCTCGGCAGGGACCACGGCGGCTCAGCAGAAGAGGCAGGACTTGAACCCGAGTCTGAAGGCTCTGCTCGTGCCTCCGGGGCTCTCGGGCCAGGGCAGCAGGGCGGGAAGGAGCCTGGGGGCCACGAAACCCACGTCCCAGAAAGTTTCAGCAACTTGCCCGAGGTCTCGGGCAGTCAAGCAGCGGAGCCGAGCCCGGAATCCCTGTCGTCGGACTCCAGAACCGCTGCGTCGAGATTCGGGTTCGAATGCAGTCGCTGCCTCGTGGCGGGGCTCTGGACACAGCGTCCTCACCTTCATCAGGAAGGCGCAGCTGTCCCAAGTGCTCAGCCGCCAGCTGCCGGGGCTGGTACGCGCTCCGCTCCGGGGCCCCTCGCAGCTCCTCCCTGCCCCGCCTCTCCCCACCCCTCCCTCCGGCCGGAAGCGGTGGCGCCCGAGGGGGCGGGGCTCACGGGAAACGCTTCCGGGTGGACGGGGGGGCTGAGGCGGCGGTGGCTGAGGAGGCGGCGGCGGCGGCGGCGGCGGCGGCGGGAGCGGCTGGGACGGGCCCGGGGCCTGGCGGAGGTGGACGCCGAGGAAGCGATGTGAGAGGCCAGCGCCCAGGTGAGCCCCGCGAGCCCGGCCGGACAGAGGCGGCCCCGGACCGTGCCACTGGCCCGGCCGGGCGCTCCCGAGCTGCCAGGGACCCCCGGGGGCTCCGAACTGGCTGCCGGGGGTTCCGGGTCCGCCCCCGTCGAAGTGCGTCCCGGGCTCGGGTCCCCAGCTCCGCCGGCCCCCGGGGGAGGGAGGGCGAGGAGCCAGGACCCAAGCCGCTTCCCCAGTTTGCCCCACTTCCTCGCCTGCCATAGCCGTCCGCGGGGCGGGGAGGGAGGATGGGGAAGAGCGGGCGCCCGTGTTCGGCCGGGGCCGGAGCCCGAGGTGGGGAGCGATGGCCCAGAGCGGAGCAGAAATGGACAGAACCGAGACTTTGAGTGAGAGGCTCAGGGAAGACTTCTCGGAGGAGGTGGCACCTGGGCTGAGCCTTGGAGAAAGGGGAAGATGCCGAGAGGTGAAGATGAAGAGGGACCTGTCCTGTTCGTGCAAAGGCGCGGAAGCAGGAGATGAGCAGCGTTCGAGGAGTAGAGAAGAGTCTAGTTTGGTGGAACCTAAATGGGAGAAGGGGAGTGGTATGGGGGAACAAGCCTGGAAAGGAGAGTTGGAGCCAGATTGTGGAGAGCCTTAAATGCTAAGCTAAGGAGTTGCAGTTTTTATCCCAGAGGCCACTTTATGTTCTCGAGCCTGGAACCTTCAGGGTCAGGCCTCTGTTTTAGGGTGATGACATGACACCTGTGTGAAGGACGGATTTGAGATTATAGGTGGGGAGACCCATTGAGTGGAGAGGAAGGTGAACTCGGGAGATATGGTGGAGGGAGAATCCAAAAATACTGGCAACTGATGGGCGGCTCATGGACCTTCTCACTTGGCTGCTTGGTCTAGGGATCTGGGCTAGCTTTGATGGCTGGTTGGTCCAAGGTGCCTAGGGACAGTTATCCAAGCGGGCAGCTGTTTCCTTGAAAGGGGAAATCCAGCACTCTCCTCCTTCACCTGGGAAGTATTTAGCCTTCCTGTGGGAAATTAATCCATAGAATCTTCCATCTGCATAGATGGAAGGGACCTTTGAGATCTTGTTCCATCCCATATTACAGATGAGGAAACTGAGGCCCAGAGCGGGGGTGTGATTTACTAATGTGTCAGAGTTGAGACTCAAATCCGGGTCTTCTGATTGTCAGTCTAGTGTTTTTTCCATGTTTCTTCCTCTCCACCACCACCCCCACCTTGTTGGGGAATCCTGTTTGAAAGTAGCAAGGGTTGGTTGTTTTTACTGTACCTTGGTCAGGAGCTCTCAAGTGAGACAGTTTTTGTGATTATAATTTTAGGTTCTGCCAAAATCCCTTCTGAAAACCAATGCTGTGATATATTAGCAGCTCTTTTTTCACCTTCTCCCCTACCTCCCCAGACTTACGCACCAGGATGATTTACTGGTTACTAGATTTCTCACCTCTGTCACTTGCAGAGATGTTTACTCCTGGCCCAGATCACAAATATCACATATTTCCTAGAGATGAAGATCATCCTGGTCATCTAACCCCGTTTTCACAGAGGTATAACTCTTTGTTTTGGAAGGTTGAAAAACCCATTTTAATTACATATTAATTCCTGAAGACTTAGCCTGTGCTGAAGGTTAATATGTTAACATCTTTTAGCTGAATTGTCCAGGAGGTCATTACATCTTGATACTTTTTACCAAGTAAAACCGATCATATTCTTTCTCTGAGTACAATCTGTCCAAGATTGGGTGTGCCTTGTCACAACTTTATATAATCACTTTTCCCCTGATATCAGTCTATCATTTTATCATGAAGACTACCCTTTGGACATATACAGTGCCTAAAGATATTGTAATGGGCGTTCTGGGTGCACTTTAAGAGAGGTTGACATTGTGCAGCTAAGAAAAATTGTGTAATTTTACTGAAGACAGTTGTACTGTGGACCCTTTGCAGTAATCACAAAAAATTCCCTGAGATCAGAGAATTTCGGATTGCTAGAGTTTGGTATTTTTACTCCCTTTCTGTACTTTGTTCCAGGACAACTTGGAAACAAATTGTAGAAGTATTAAAAAAAATTTTCTACACCTTGGTCTTACCTTTTAATCAATCTCTGCCTTTCATCATTTATTATCACTGTCTTGTCAAGTCTTTTTTGGAAGCAGCAATGAATCCTTTCTCTTCTCTTCTTTCCATAAACCTTAGTCCAAATTCATTCACTTCACATCTGAATTATTGTAACAACTTCTTAGAAGTTTTTATGTATGCAACCTACCATAATCTGGCCTACTTTGTGTATACATTTTACCTCTTAATCTGACTTTATACAATGCCAGATTTTCTACAGTTAATTAGCAGGTATTTGTCAAAGTCTTACTTTGGCATCAACAAACCTTTTTTGGTTTTCCTTCAAAGCTTGGTACAGTTCTGTGTATACAGTAATAAAAATAATGCCTAGCATTTACATAGCACTTTAAGGTTTTCGAAGAACTTGACAAATATCTCATTGGATCCTCACAACCCTGGGAAGGAGGTGCTGTTTATTATCCGTAATTTTACAGATGAGGAAATTGAGTCAGAGGTTCAGTGACTTGCCCACAGTCACAGAGATAGTGTTCTATCCACTGTGCAGTGGATAGAACACTATCCACTAGGATCTTTTCTTTAAAAATTTTTTTAAAACTATGAACTTGACAAACATCAATACACATGGATATTTCCATGTGTAAAGAACAGACAATTGTCATTAGGCTCTTAATTCATGCTTATTGAATGAATTAATGAATTATGAATAAATGAATGACAGCATTGTGCTACCTTCTGTACCCGAGATTTCTCATCCATCAGGTAGGTTTAATAATTGCACCTCCTACCTCACAGAGCTGTGAGGATCAAATGAAATAATAATGTACTTAAAACATTTAGCTATTACTAGTAGCTGCATTGTGGTATACACAGTAGTATAATATAGTTTCTGCCTTCAAGAACTTTATAGTCTAGTTGAAAGATGAGATATTCTTGCAGAAAGACAATATAAACCAAGATCTGTTCCTATAGTGCCTATTAAAGCTTTATTTCCCAGTCTATGCACCTTATTACACTGTTAAGTTTATTAAAAGAATTGAATGAGGGAATAACATGTGACATTGTAGTATAGTGGAAAGAGTAATGGACTTGGAATCAGAATTACCTGAGTTCAAGTCCTAGCTTTGACACTTTCTAGCTAGTTAACTCATTTCCTTAACTGGGGCCTCAGTTTACTCTTCTGTAAAATGGAAATCATAGGTCTTTATACTACCTACTTAATAAGAATGTTGTGATGAAAACACTTTATAGATCTTAAGGCACTATAGAAATGTGAATTATTGTCAATATATGTGAAAATACCATATACATGTAAGAATATTCTTACTGCCTCTTGAGATTTTGCTTATTTTGCTTCACCCCTTCTGGAATTACCTTTTTTTCTTCTTCAGAGTTCTTTTAAGCCCATATATTCTTACTTAAGTGCCTTATTGAGTCCACATAAACTGTCTCCTTTTTCTGATTAAGAGATCACTACCAGTACCATTAATTTTAAGTCTGTTAAATGTTTTATGTGATATTATTTTCTAGTTGTTTCATGTGTTCTTATCTCAACTAGCTTGGAAATCTTTTGAGAGTATATTTCTCCCATCACCTTACACAGTGATGGACACATAGTTGGAGCTTAAAAAATACCTATTGATTTTATTGGCAAACATTTTTAAAAATTTAACTCCTTTCTTTTCTTGCCTTTAAATTAAAAACTGCAACTAGCATTAGGTATCTCTTGCCTGGTGTTGCCAGTGTTAATTCTTCCTCATCTAAGATCATGAGGCAGTGAATGTTAAAATTAAGTGCTTAAGTTTGGCTAAGTAAATCATTGTTATTCGTATTGTAGACTAGGCTTTTGAGGGATGCCCTGTCACTTCAACAAATGCCCACTAAATCCTTCATGTGCAAGGGAGGATACAGAGGCAAAAACAAAATAACTTCTGCCTCCAAGGAACTCTCTGTTGTAGGAATATAGAATGCGATACATATAGGTAAATACAAAGGATATACAAAATAACACCAAATAATTTTGAGAGGGAGAGAGTGCTGATGGGTGTTGTAGAGCACGGAAGGGGGTGCTTGAGCTGTGCTCTGAGGTGGAGGTGAAAAGACTTCATTCCAGACATGGGGAACCATTTGGTCAAAGGCACAGAAATAGCATGTGGAATGTCATGGATAAAAACCACTAGTAGTCCATCTTGACTGATTGAGAGCATAAGACTGGAAGGGTAGGTAGGAGACAGATTGTGGAGGGCTTTAAGTGCCTAGGAGTATCTATTTTATTCTAGGAGCAATTGATGGCTACAGGGGGATGTTTGTTCATTCATTTTCAGCTCTAAATAAAGAAAACATTCCAAAAAATCAGAGCTGTGTAAAAATGGAATGAGATCTCTGGGAATGTCCTCCTCACTGGATGTCTTGAAGCAGAAATTAGATGACTACAAATCAAAGCTGTTGTGAAGGAGTGGAGGGAGGAGCTCTACTCAGGTAACAGTTGGATTAAAAGACTTCCCAGGTCCCTTTCAACTTTTGAAATTCTCTAATTCAGTAAAATGAGAGCGTAGGTCCACTAAATACTAGAAATGATATTTTTTTAACGGTTGACTTATTGGGAAAATATTTCCCTGTTTTTTCCTTTTTCCTATAATTCTAACTAATACTTGATGAGTCATAAATGTATGCCTACCAAGGTATAGAGTAGATTGACTTTTGGAATACTTGGGCCTCTGCTTGTCCATTAAGGTGTCATTTTTAGCAAGTTTGTCTGCGTATCAAGTAACTTGACAGAAACATTCAGTTTCACAAACCTAGTATGTTATTTTATTTATTTATTTTTTATCAGTTTTCATCTTTGCCAAAGCTGATATCAGCCCGAGAATTTTGGATTGTTTGGAAACTCTTAATTGTGCTCCTTTAATGTTTTGTAGTAGTAATAGTTCATAG